TACTATCTGTCCATTATGCCCAGTCACTATAATGTCCCCTCCATTATCTTATCTATTCTCCTCGCTCCACACTCCAGACTTCATTCTTCATAGTCTGGTCTCTGTATCTCACACCCCATTGACCAAATGCCTTCTGCATTCCTCATTCTTGTCACTCCATGGTCTGTGTCCGTACTTCCTTCTACACATGTCATTCTCCATGTATCATGCTCCATTCACCATCCATTGTGCATTCTCCAACCTCCATACTTTACATGCTGCAATCTCTGTATCTCATGATCCATTAATTAACTTTTCCCTCCACTTTCCCTACTCTGCACTCACATACTGCTTTCCACATACTTTCTTCTAATTCACCATGCTCAATTCTCCTCACTCTATCCCCCTTTCTGTGCAATACATGTACATATATACTCTGTCCTCTAGACCCTGTAATCCATCCATACTGTTATTCCCTTCAATCTTCATTTTCTTCACTGTTCCCCTACTCTGTACTTCATTCTACAAACTGTGACCTCCACACATTACAATCTAGTCACATCGTTCTCCTTTCCATTACTTCTTCATGCCATACTCAACAATTCATACTATGTACGTTAATATACATGCCTCATGTATAACTCACTGTTATCACCTCTTTGTTCTACACTCTCTTCACTCCGTATTCCTTTCTTCATATATCCACACTATGGACAATAGTCTATTATCCACACCGAACTCCATTCACTGCATCCTCTCTTACACTTCCAGTTGTTCTCACACAACTGCATACGCAGTGCTCCACACACCATGTGGCCCCTGTGGTTACCATCCCCTCACTCTTTAATGTGTTCCCACTCCCCATATTTTAATTTACCCATTTCCTCCCAAACCTGCTAGTCCCTTCACCATGTTCTCCCTTCCAGTCTACATTCTCCTTTCTCCACACTCTGTTCCTATGTACCACACTTCATTCCACATAGTCTATCCTCTGCGTTTCATATGGTATTGATCATGTTATCCACTCCATTTTTGTTCTTCTTGCTCTACATACTCTTCTCATACTTCTTACTGTATGCTGCATACTTCAAGCTCTGTTCATCGGGTTCTTCTCCGTGCTTTTGCTTGCCAACTTATCAGTGTTCTGTTTCCATAACCCATGCCTCATTCTATATAGTGTTTCTCTATGCCGCATGCTCCATTCACTGTGTTCTGTCATTCTCCGTTCTCATTTACCCCATTATGTCTTCTGTTTCCATTCTCTTCGCTTTATTGTCCCCGAGGTGTGACTTTGTTGGAGTGCATATGGCCTTTTTGGAGAAAATGTGTCACTGTGGGGACAGACTTTGAGGTCTCTTTTGCTCAGTCTTCCCTCAGTGTGACTGTCAACTTCTGTTTCCTCTCAGCTCCAGTACCACATCTGCCTGTATGCTGCCATGCTCCCTTCATGGTGACAATGAACTGAGTCTCTGAAACTGTAAGCCACCACTTCAGTTACAAGCTTCTTTTATAAGAGTTGCTGTGGTCATGGTGTCTCTTCTCAGCAATAAAAACCCTAAGATACCAGTCTACTACTCTAGACTTTGTTCCTATTCTCCATACTTCATCTTATCTACTCAAGCTCCATATCTCACACTCTGTTCATGATGTTCTCCAATCTGTGTCTCTACTTTCACTTGATTCTCCATGCTTTATGTTCTATTTACCAAGTTCTTTCTTCATTATTCATTTCATTGCTTTATACTCTTTTTTTCTTACTCTGTATTTCATGCCCCACACTTCATACGCCAATGACCAACTTCTTCTCTCTGTACTCCTTACCCCGGTCATCCCCCACACTTCATTCTATATATGATACCATACTGATATCATGTTCAGTTCTCCATGGTTTCCCCTGTATTATTCACTCCATTCACTCCCAGACTAATCTCTATACCTCATGGCCCATTGACCAATATCTCCCATCTATTTTCCATTCTTCTCTCTCCACAATTGGTTAACACACTCTGTCTGCCTACTTTGTTGTGAGTATATTGTACTCCATCCTCTTCTGTCTTCACCTCATTCTCTACTCTCTACTCGATAAGTAATTCTCATGTTTATACTCCCTTCTCCTCGCCCAGTCTCCATTTTCTATGCTCCACACTCCACTCTATTCCTCATTCTTCATCCTTTGTTCTCAGACTCTATTCTGCTTGTGTTCTGTTCTGTAGAACCCTTTCTCTTATTCCACTCCCACCGCCATTCCAGACTGTACTCTGCACACCCCATGTCCCAAGCTGCACTGTCTGTACTATATTTATCATTGTTGGTACTCCATGTTCAACATATTCTGTTCCATCATCCATCCTATTATTTACACTCTACTTCATGCTTTGCCATCAAAAATTACCCAGCATGACTGCATTTCCTCTCCCACGACAACTTCCAGCACATTTTTCATCCCTATAGCCTTTGTCCATTCTTCATTTGCCACTGCCGTTCTTCACACTCCATACTATTTTGTGCACACACTCAGGTTTCCATATTTCTTCTCCCTTAACTGACTCCCCAAATTACACTTTCCACATGCCACATTTGACTTTCCATTATCCATGCTATGTACTTTCTATTCTCCATCGTTAATATGCTACTTTTCATGCTTTTACCACTTTTTGCAAATAGTCTCCATATAATAATCCTCATATGCCAACTTCATTCTCATTTTACTACATGTCATTTCCTGTACTCTATTCTCTCTTTCATATTCAAAATGCCATTCTTCATGTTTTCTCTCTGTTCTTCAAACCATACTCTATTCTCCATATTTCATCTTTCTCCATACTTCATTTTCCATATTCTAATCCCATTATTCATTATCCACACTCTATCATTTATTCTCCATGCTCTTTAGATTCTCTAGATTCCATTCTCTTCTACTCAGATCATTCTCCACTTTCCATACTTTATATTCCATTCAGTATATTCAATACTTTATTCTCTAGTTATTTCCTGTCATAGACTTCATACTTTATACTCCACCAACTAAAATTGTGTGTGTGTAAGTATGTGTGCATGAGAGAGAGAGAGTTCCACATAGAAACAAAAGAAAGTAACACATTTTTATGTTCTGTAGACAGTTAAAGGATAACAGATAACAAAGAAATATTATGAAGACATTTATACCAATTAGTTCAACTTTATATAAATGAAATAGTTAAATATTAATGATGAGTAATCATAGACTGAAATAAAAGTGAAATTGTCAATCATCTCAAACAATGAAAATTTTGGGGATAAATCTACAGAAGATATAAAACTCCTGCCCCTACCTACTAAATATTACTGAGGGGAAAGTAAGTACTTACAGCAGTGAAGAAATCCACTTTTTCATGGGTTGGATTATTCAGTAATTTTTGGATGTCAGCTCTTCTCTCATTCGTCTATGGATGCCACAGAGTAGAAAAACACATTGACTATTTTTCCCACTGCTTCTGGGGACATCTCTTATTCCCTGCCAAAGGATAAGAGTGAGAAATCCTCTGGGATGGGAAAATATTTGAAAAATGTGTGTATGAGAAGGAGCTAATGCCTAGAATACACAGAAATATCCACAGCTCAACAATAAAGCACCTTAGTTAAAAATAGGCAAAAGGCTTGAAAGACATTTATCTAAAACAGATGCAAAGGCGAACAACACAAACTTACGAAGGCTCTCACCATCAACCAATATCACCCTGCATCACGCAGCATCACCCAGAATCATTCAGTTACTGCACACCATCTGGCATCACCCAGTATCGCTCAGCATTTCTGGCCACTCAGGAAATGCGCCTCAGAAGAACAACGAGACACCATCTTAGGCTCATGACCAGCTGCTGCCACAACACAGAAAATGTAGGGTGAAATGATTGGTACTTTGTGCCAAGCTGGTAGGAATGTTAGATGGTGCAGCTACTGTGGAAGACAGATAAAGGTAAAGAAAATATAAGAAATTATTTTTATTCTTTTGTATTTGGCAAAACTTTATTTTTGGCCTTGAATGTGATCTATTTTAGAGAAAGTTCCATAGATCACTCAGAACATGTATTCTGTATCTTTTGAAGAGACTATATAGCTCTTAAGTCCATTTGATCTGTGGTGTAGCTTAAATCTGAGGTTTACTTACTGGTTTTTATTTTTCTGGCCAATCAGAGCATGATGGCCTGTACAGAAGTCAGCCACCATGATTTTTATTAGGGCTTATTTGACATTTCATGTCCAGTAGTGTTTACTTGTATATGTACTTAAAATTGTTATGCTTTCTTAATCAATTGTTCCATTTATAAGTATGTAGTGGCCTCTTTTATCACTTTTAAGTAGTTTTGGTTTGAAGTCTGCTTTGTCAGGTGTCTTAGCTATGCCAGCTTATTTGAAGCATTTGTTTGCTTGGTAGATGGTCTTCCATCATTTGGTCCTCAGTCTGCATCTTTACCAATAAGGTACATTTCTTGCAGGCAACAGATAGTTGGAATCAGAGTTTTTAGCCCAGCTAGCCAGTCCATGTCCCTTTATTGGTAAGTTGAGGCCATTGTTACTATTGAGAGATATTTGCTAATTTCTGTAATTTTGTTGGTCTTTTTCTGATTGTTTGGATCATTGTTAGTTCTTTACCTCCTCCTGTTAGTATTAAGGGTTTGCTGGTTTGGTATTGTGAGACACAATGGAGTCCTACCTAGCTTTCCTTTGTTCAGCTGTTTCTTTCATGATACTCTTGCTCTCTTGTGTGCTGTGGCTAAGACTAATCTTTTTCTCAGGTATGTGCTGTTCCTCTCAGGACCATCTGCAATACGGGCTTGGTGGTCATGAATTTAGTTGCTGCTTGTTTTGAAATGTCCTTTTCCACCATCAGTTTTACAGTATAGATCTCTTGCACAGGACACTCTTGGTGGGCATTTATTTAATTTCAGGGCTTGGCATGCATTGCTTTTCATGTGCCTGTTTTGAAGGCTGTTATGAAATCTGATATTATTCTCACATTTCTGCCTGTTTTTCTCTTCTAGCTTTGTATTAGCCACTTTTCTGCTGCTGAGAAAACACCTGGCGAAAACAACCTAAGGAAGGAAGGAAGGAGGGGTCTACTTTGCCTCACTGTTTAGGAATATAGTCTATCACGGCAAGGAAGACACCGTGGCAGGTTTAGGATTGGGACAGAATTTCTAACAATTTCTGAAATGGCTATAAACTTTCTCCTGATACTTTGTACTCCGTCTTTCTTCTTGCAAATTAGTGTTCCCAGCACTAACCATCAGAAAATCAAAATATTGGACAACCATGAAAAACATTGAAGATGTCAGCCTATGGTATCAAATACTCAATACTTAATTCTTTATATAAAAAAATCATATCCATCTCATTAGTGTGCAAATTTCTTTCATCACTGAATGGTAAAATTATATGTATATCAAGAAATTGATTTGAAATAAATTCGTTTATGATTTATGATGAGTAAATGTTTGATTTACACATCCATCTTACATTCTTACGTAGTTGAGGTCATGTAAAGTTTTCTTGGGTAAAATGGGACTGAAAATGGAAAGTGACAAAATCCAGGCTTAACACTCACTTTCCAAGGACCCATCCTTCCAGAGATCTGGAAACTGCCGTGTAAGACTGGTTACATGTCATTTGTGATCATGGAGCCTCGCTGGTCCCCATTGGTGTTCCGCACCGTGAAGCTCATTCCCCTGCCTCTTACTGCTTACTGATTTTTGACCCCAAATGATGGATTTCAGCATTTGGGGTGTGGTATGCCTCATCCCTTTTGAATCTGTTCTCTTCTGAGATGACAGTTTCTTAGAAATAATTCTTTCTGATTTGTCCCATGGGCTTCCACTGGCACACTTTTGGTATTGACACCTGTTGTATTTCTCTCTGTTAGGGCAGCTCAACACCCAGTCACTCCAGTACATTCCAAGTAGGAAGCAGGAGGATGCCAAGGAGGTCATAGATGGTGAGCTGAACACTAGTATAGAACCTTACAGAGTCTGAAGTTTGGGGGAGGCTGAAAAGAGGGAGCTGGGGAGAGGAGGCCTGGGACACAGTATACCATATATCTGGAAGCAGGACAGGAGCCTTATTAGCACATGAAGAGACAGACACAAGCCACACAGCCAGGAAAGGTACATGGGCGCATTTAGAAGAGGGCAGTCCCTAAAGTTTATCAGGCTTGTGGCCCACAACCCCTTATTCACCCTGACCCACACTCCTATGTATGCCTACTAAAATCTCACAAACACATATGTGTTTGCTGAAGCCCACAGGTACAAGATGGATTCACAATGGAACACACAAGCACACTCGCCGGATACACAGAGTCACAGACACAGCAGATAGTCACATCTGTACTCAAATATGCATACAGACACATCTTCAGTCAAACACATGGGTATATAATGAATTTACACACACACACACACACACACACACACACCACACACACTTCCATAGCCCACCACATTCATCCTTTCTCTTCCCTTGGTGGTACCTGAGAAGCCTCAGTGGGTGTCAGGTAATAACAGTATTTCCATTTTCAGAGTGGGAAACTGAGTCATTTGGCTTTGGCTTAGTGGAAAGGGCTGGGTGTCAGGCTCCATCCTCCCCACCCCAGGACGACATAGACACACTAGGAGCACATAGGGACACTAGCACACCACAACAGCCTTCTCTCGTGTGAGACCTCCCAGGGACAGAAACACTGAAGCAAGGCCAAGGACATCCAGAATGGAGTCTGCATCTCTTTAAGTAACAGATGATCCCAGGTCTCTGGGTCCCACCTGGGTCCTGCAGGGCCACTTCCTGCCTCACATACAGAGGTTCAGAGTGCAGAGTCCTGTCCACTGTGGTGTCCATGCCACTGGGCCGGAAGTAGGACCACGTGCATGTCTGCAGCAGGAAGACAGTTCTCAAAGAATGTTCTACCGCCCACACATGCTTGGTGACAGGAGGTGAGGCCAGCTGTGGCCACAGGGTTCTGGTTCAGAGCAAATATTGTCCTAAAATGGTTCTGGAACGTGCCTTGTGCATTTGTGTTTGTGTGTGTGTGTTTTGGGAGCTGCTGCGTTGACAGTGGCTGCCAGCCAGCCTCCACAGAGGGAAGTAGGGTAGCTAGACAGCCTCTCGGGGCCCCCACACCTGCACCTCACATCTGTCTCTGGTTTGTGTCCAGGGCTGTCTATCCACCATGAGCTTGTACTGATGATGCAGGGCAGATGCCCATCTGAAGGACCCCACCCCACAAGGCCCAGCTGAGGAACCAAGTCCTCTTACTGGAACAGGTCCAGCGGGAGAAACTGTTCTTACCAACCTTAGAACTGGCCATTGCAGTCAACCACCAGACATCTGTCCTGGAGCTTAGAGTTCTCTGTGGCCCTTAGAGGCAACCATTAGATCTGATGACCCCAGACATAGCCTTGGAAAGGCGATAGCTAAGACGGAATAGAGCGGCCCTTTCTTCTGGGGTCCCCAGCCATCAACTCCAGGATCAAGGGTAGGAACAGGGAAGGAAGACAAGAGGTCTGGGCCCTGGCCAGCCTTTGGGTCATCTCACAAGGCCCTGACATTCCCTGGAAACAGTAAGAATGAGGCTAGTGTGGTGGGGCCAGTTCCTTGGTCTCCACATTCCCACACAGCTGGAGGGCTCACTACCTTTAGTTCTTCACATAGACAGATGACAGTAAGTCACATTTTGTCCCCATGAGGTTGGTTGTCAGCAGAAGTGCCACAGACATGCCCAGAATTCTCAGAAACGTTCTATAAGCAGAGGTAGTGAGTTCTCCAAGGTTGGTATGACTGGAGCAAGGTGGGCTATGGGGAAAGGTACTCCAAATGATGGGAACCAGATCAGTCACTACTCATGGCACTGGAGCCAGGATGGTCCTTGGCCCTCTATATGTTAGACACCTGGTATCATGAAGTCCACCTACACGATGTTGTGGATGTGTTTGCCAACTCTATCCAATCTCACTTTCTATAAGGCTGTCTCAAGCAAACACTGGCCATGTTTACATGGCATTTGTAGGTTGACTCCTGCCCCACTAATGGGCTCCTCCCTGGGCATACAAATTCCAGGTCCTCTCTCAAGGGCACCTAATGTCTCTTCCAAAGAGAAAGCCCTCAGACAAACTTGGCTCCCCATATATGTCTTCCTATGGTATAAGGCTGCTTCTCAGTGAATTTTGTTTGCTGCCTTGAGTGGGCAGGTGGGCACACAGAAGCAATGGCCAAGTGGGAGAGTTAGGACTCTCTGACCTGAGGTCATTCCTGTCACGTTATGCAATCTACTCCTTTGTATTTTTGCTTTTTGTGGAATGGGGCAGGGAGTGTAGTATATACACGTGTTCATGCGTGTGTCTGCATGTGTGCATGTAGATGCATTTGTGTGTACAGGCATGTGGAGGTCAGAGGTTAACATCAAGTGTCTTCCACCACTGTTCTCTGTCTTATTCTTTTGAACCAAGGGGGTTCACTGAACTTGGGGCTCACCAATTAGCTAGACTGACTGAACAATGAGCTCCAGGGATCCTCCAGAAACTGCCCACTACCACCACTCTGAGCACTTAGGTTACAGATGTACTCCATTTTAGCTTTTGTTTCAGTGCTGGGGAGACAAACTCAGGTCATCATGTTTGCATGGCAAGTCCTTCACCCACAGCGATCTCTCCAGCCCTCACCACAGCATTGCTTGTGTATCTCTGCAGCCTCCTACTCCCAGCTGGAGGTAATGGATTCCCAGCCTAGCTGTGTGCTCTCGGGTGCCAGGTTGTTAGGCCACTAGACTTTTGACAAATCTTCTGAGTTGGCACTGTGAGGCAGAGGTGGGGGAATAGGCTTAACAGGAAACCAGGAAGAGACCAGCATCTTTCTGTGGGACGGGCTCTGCTATGGCCCTCTCTACTGACCTCTCTTTGTCTCCCCTTGTCCTTCTGGGGCCAGATACTACCCTGCACATTCTGTTTAGCCATTATTGAATGTTGGGAGTGATCTGCAATAGGTAAGACAGAGCTTGGGACCCAGTTAGAAAGTTGGTGTATTCCAGGCATCACCTTGGGGAGTGTGGAGGACCTGGAAAAGAAGTGAGTGGTCCCAGGAAGCCAGAAGGTGGCTCAGATGCTCCCCATGGCCAAGGGCAGTGCAGGCAAGGATGAGTGTCCCAACAGCATGGAGGAAATCATGATTATATGGGTAGCTGTGGTCCCTGTGGGTCTGACACAGGTATTCACTGTTGTGATCATTCCTTCTTTGAAGGCTTCCCAGGAACTTCAGGTCCCACCCCCATGGGATTCCAGAAATGCCCCTCCCTGCCCTTTTCAATCTCACAGCCACTTCCATGTTGCTCCATGCTTTCTTTACCTGGTCATCTCAAGCCCTTGAGAAGTCCAAGCCTCCTCCACTGAGACCTTCCCCCTGAGATCCCAGACCCACCCCAGATCTTGAAGCTGCAGATCCCCAAACCTGTGCACTCTTGCCATCACAGCTATTTGGAGGTCCCTCATATCTCCTCTTTCCAGTGCAGCAGAAGCCATGATGATAGATGTGCCCTGGCACTCAGACATCACTCCATAACCTTACCTTGAGGTTTTCAGATCCAGCGAAGATGCTTAACTACGAGAAGTCCCCCAAAGGTTCCATGGAAACTTTCAAACTGGAGCAGATATACACTGTATTGAAGAACTTCCCGCACGCTACACAGGTTGCCACACCTTCCTGGCTTCCGATCTCTGTCCTATTCCAAAGCAGATCCATTGCATTTCAGACTATGGGATGCCTTGCCTTTAATCACAACCAGAACAACTTGAAAACACAAAGGAGTCACTGACCCTCCCCTGTCTCACCCCAAGCTGAGAATTCTTGTAGAGACCTAGAGCCTTCCTTTTCTTCTTCTGAAGATGTGGAGACATTGAATCCAGTCTTCGGCCGCCTGCTCTTCCTGTGAGACTGCAGTAGACTCCTCTCCTGACTGATATTTTGTAATAGTGAGGTAACCAGGACTGGCCAGAGGGGCAACTGTTTAAAGGCCAAGGCTCTGGCCTGTGTTCTTTTGACAGCCTCTGAGGTGGGATGACCACTCCCTTCCCCTCCCTGCCTCCATAAAGAACAATTCACAAGGATCTGGAGAGATGTCCCCACCCTTCTGGTAGTGCTTTAATTTTTACTATCAACCTGATTGGATTGAGACCCCCTAGAACATTAATGAGCTGTCTGTGCAAGCATTTCCAGAGAGGATTAACTGAGTGTGGACAGCACTGTCCCATGGGTAGGGTCCCTGATGGAGTAAAAGCAGACAAGAGAAAGCAAGTTAAGTGCAAGCTTCCTCACTCTCTGCTTCCTGGTTTGTTGAGGTGAAGGCAAGCAGCTTACACTTGTACCATCGTGGAACTGCCTACTACGGTGCCTTCCCACCAAGATGGACAATCTCCCTCAGCCTGTGGGCTGAAATAAAT